CGAAGAAAGACGAAAGCTGGTAACCATTGGAATGTCGGCTTATTTTTGCATTCTTCTTTCCACGAAGTTAATGGTGCAGCGTTAATCTCCATTTCTATGCCATCAGCCAGGAATTTATTATTTTTTCTATTACGGCAGAGTCTACAGCAACGTGACAAGTGAGCTTATAGTCTCTTATTACGTCCTACAGAGTGATACTCACTTAGCAACCTCGAAAGGAAGAAGGACGAGTGACCCTGACCGGGCTTGAACTGGAGACCAATCGGTTGGTATAGTGAGCATTAAAAGTCTGTTTATAAGCAAAAACCTATAAACAACATCTGTTTCTATAAAACATAAAGGTACGTTCACCATACCAAAAGGGAAGAAACTGTAAGAAGTGCTGATTGTCCAATAGGAAGTAAATTAACATATCAGTCCTGCTGCAGACTTGGCAGTGGTCGTTTACATGTCAAATTTGCATTAGTCTTTTTAAACGAAGAATATATTTAATCTAAATCTACTTATATTAAACTTAGTAGTACATAATAAATACGGAAATAAACAGAAATGCAAAAAACTGCGCATTTACTGAACATGTGCTAAAGGAGGATCAAACTGTTGGTTGTAAAATATGAAAGGGGAGAGTGCAAAAGAAACTATTTGAAGTGGAAGATTAAAAATGCCCTCTTGACACAAACTCGAAAAGGAGACAATGGTGAAAACCTGTCATCAATCTGGAAGGAGACAACAAAAGAGTTGATGAAGAAAACTCAGGATTAATTACATCTAAATCGGTGACAACTTCACTCACTGCATTACACAATTCGATGGTCGTATGGATGCACTTGAAAATCATTCTATAATGTTTAACGATACTGTTACATTGTTTTCTGCATAGGTTGTTATGCAGTGTCGCTTAAAGTTGGATCTAGCTCGACCAGAAACATCTCAATAGATCTTATTCAAAAAAATTCACAAGTAGATGATTCAATCCATAGTGTCAACAAATTCTTAATGTTAATTAAAATCCTTTACTTTCGGTCCTATCAACATGTATCTTGCTGTTCGAGGCGAATTCACAATATGATGCAGCATGGCATCCACCTAAGTCACGCGTTGACAATTACTATACAACGCTGATCTTAATAAATCGCATCGCCCCTAGCAAGCTTTCAGAAACTAGTGAGCGGTGGATTTTATCATGCAAGCCTGTACTATCCATTAAGCAAGCATTTCATGTGTAAACAAAATATAATTGGTTTTAAACCTAAGCTTATTAAGTTATTATGTGCACAGAGTAAAAAGTACTTCCGTTGATGTCCGACGACCAATGTATTTTGTTCAAGTAATTAGTGGTCCTTGATCTCAAAGACATTTACGTTGTTCGAGCTAATGCGATGATACGTTTCCAGGTACAACACAATCGAAACCTGTCAATTATAGTTGCTCTGTTGACTAAGCGACTAAAGTAAATAGGCCAGAAAATAAGAGGGAAAAGCGATTATGGTACCAAGCAAGATGAACCATAGAAAATGATGAACCATTTTCTGTCATATCACTCCAGCAACTTGTTCTTCTTTCGTGACAGCTAAAACTAAAAAACGAACCGCCGAATTTTCATGCAAATCACCGAAATCCATCTGCGTGTATTCCGCAAGGCCAGAGCGAGTTACTGACTAATGCAAAACCAGTTCTTTAAGTAACGCGCCATTACAGCGACTGACCAGTTAGAATAAATTCTCAGCGAAAACCTCCCGCTGGTCTTTTCTCATCGGCTGTAGGACATATGACTTAAGTTCATAAAAGCGAGCTAAACGATCAGTGTGGGACGCGCTGCAAATAATTCGGG